GAATGATGTACAAATGCACTTTACACAATTGATGTGTGTATGGATTGCAATAACAGTTGTATGAGCCCCTAATAAAATGTTTAAAAAAAAAAAAAGAGCAAATAGTGTATGGGACTATAAAGACAAAGACTTTCATACCAAAGGGAATTGGCTTTGGAAGTTCCCACAGGAGGAAATATTAAGCAGCAAACTAGAAGGTTGACAGATACTGACATTATGAAAGAGGATGGAGGTTCCTAACATGGAGGGAAAAAATTGGGGATGGTGGGTGGGGTTGATGAATGGCTAGAAAACTTGCATCCTGTTGAATGCAGAGTTGTTCATGTGAAATGTAAACCCCATCCTTAATTCACAATAAATTCATTTTTTAAAATCCATTTTTTCATGATCTTTTTGAAGCCCCTTGTATAGCTCTGACACGATAGCTCTGCAAGTTTATATGTGCTGTTCAGGAGCTCTGTTGGTATAGTGATTGCGAGTTGGGCTGCAATCTGCATTATCAGCAGTTCGAAACCACCAGCAGCTTCCATGGGAGAAAGACTGGGCTTTCTACTGCTATAAACAAAGTCTCAGAAACCCACAGTGGGTTACTATGAGTCAACATTGACTTGAAGGTAGCGAGGTTATATGCTATGTATACTTGAATGTACTGGAGCATACAGCAAGGTTGTGAAACCTGGTAGCCAGACACTTTTAGGGAATAAGTTACTTGGAAATTCACAGACTTGTGGAAACAATTAGTGCAAAAGACTAATGGACTATGAGGCCCAGGCCCCATGACCAACCAGATGGACTAGATGGTGCCTAGCTACCACTGCCAAGCACTCTAAAATAGATCACAGTAGAAGATCCTAGATGGAGTGGGAGACAAACAGGGAACACAATTTAAAATAATGGAAAGGACTAAGCTTATGGGTCTGATAGAGATTGGTAGAACTCCTAAGCCCTTAGACACTTTTTAAGCCTGGAGCTGAACTCACCCAATGGCTCAACTTTCAGCCAAACAGTAGACCTAAAGATGAACAGTAGCACTTGAGATGTACATGCTCTTTAGAACAGTCAATTATGTGAGGTGAAAATGGCAGTATTTGCCTGGGATATAGCTCAGAAGTTAGGACGGGGTAGGAAAGAAGGATGAATGCAATCAGTAACCATGTTATTGCATTGTAGAGATTGCCGTCAGTGTCACAAAATTTGTATGAATTATTGAGTGGAACACCAGTTTGCTCTGCAAACTTTCATCCAATTCACAATAAAAAGTTAAGAACCCACAAAAAACACCAATGACAAATGTGAGGTACCAGTTCTCTTTGTTACTTCTCACCTTTGGTCTCCCTAAGTTTATGTCATGTAACTTCTTATCACACGTCATCAAAGTGAGAAAATAAAGAATCCCGCCTTATTTAGTCTCTAACCCTTACCACTTTTCCTTTGCCTCTTGATTATTTTGCCACGTACTTTTGACAAGTGCTTATTATCTATAAATAGTTCATGAATTCAAGTATACTTAAAAAAATTTTAATACTGTTACCACAAAAGAGACCTGTGCTCATTAACAGCCATTCCTCCTCTCTGCAGTTCCTTCGCAACCACTAACTAACCTATTTTCTGTCTCCATGGACTTGGCTGTTCTGGACATTTCATAGTAATGGAATCACGTAATGCGATCTGCTATGCCGGCTGAGGTTCATTCAGGTGGTAGCATATATCAGAACTTCATTCCATTTATTGCCAAGCAATATTTCACTGGGGACACTGCATTTTGTTTATCCGCTCATTATCTGATAGAGTTTTAGATTATTTCTACTTCAGGGCTACTATGAATAATGATGGTCTCAGCATTACACCTGTAAGAATTACATGTGTTTAAATTTTGTTGTTCAACCAAATGTACTGAACAAAACAAAACCCAAATGTACTTGATTAGTCTTGTTTCAGATGAGCTATATTAACTATTATTTATTTTTAATAAGTATTAGATACTTACTATTTTTCACAAATAATATACTATACATAAAATGCTTTGTGTGTGGTTCGAAAAACATTTGTGTAAAAATGATAGTTACCTGATAGCTGTCTATTTTTTTTATTTTAAATAGTTGTATAGGTACTTTACCCACAATGCAATTCAATAGTTCAGTCATATCAAGAAGAACTTTACAGTCTGTTTAATTATCTATTTAATAATCCATTTTCGTTTCAATTCAGGGGACTAGAGTTGTGCCAGGCTATTGCTAAATTGTATTTACATTAAACCCTTATTTAATCTATAGCTGATTGAGAAAGTGACTATTGGGTTTGGAAATCCATAATGTGTGAGTCATCAATTTGATTGTATTGTGGTCTGTAAGCTCTTCTGCCTGTTTTTCTTATAGGCGCTGATGTTGCTAATGTCTGTAATGAGGCTGCTTTGATTGCTGCGAGGCACCTTTCAGACTCCATAAATCAGAAACACTTTGAACAAGCTATCGAACGAGTGATTGGTGGTAAGGCAACTCAGTGTTATTCAGGTCATGAAGCTGATGAGATGAATTTGAGGCAAGAGAGTTCTGTGTTTTGTAATTAAGTAGAAGTACATAGTGGATTACTGCTGGGGCTCACCAAGCCTGGCTGAGGCCTTCCATGAGCAAGCTTTTCTCTCTGATTTGAGTAGATAATGAGTGTTGTCAGAATGGTTCTGATGGGCTACATGGGGTTTGGTGCTGGTTCACATTCCAGCTTTGCTCTCTCTGGCAGCAGGTGCAAAGAGTGTCTGGCCCTGGATCTACCAACCTAGTTTTAAAAGAAGTTCATAATCTTCCAATTTCAAAACATTTCATGTCATGAGTTAATTTTGCTCTGGTGGATATTGGTGATGGACATAAAAGTTTACCAACAAGAGCTTACACTGCCAGCAAAGTGGGGGATACATGCTGTGTACATTCCTTGCTGTCTAAAACCCTGACTATAAAAATTCTGATACATAGTGACCCAGTATAAGACTTCTGAGCTTATAAATCTAAGGACGCAGACAGCCTCATCTTCTGAGGAAAAGCTGGCTAGTGGGTCCCAACAGTTGATCTTGCAGTTAGCAGTCCAGTGCTTACCCAGCTCCATCACCAAGGCTCCTTTTTCTTCTCTAAAGAGCTTATACTTTAATCCTTGTGGCAGAAGAATGGCAAGTTAACTATCTGGGAATTCAGTAGAGGGGAAAGCTCTGTGGAATGCAGTGGCTAACAGAACTTTAGAAGAAGTGGGATTTAAACTGAGTTAATAGGAAAATGGAATATGGCATGCAGTAGCATGAGCAGAAGAGGCTGAAGGTAGCAGTGCACACCTGTGTTTGAGGAAGAAACATAAACCTTTCCGACTCAGCTTCTGTGGGTAAGTATGTCTCAGTTAGAAAAGTTGCTTAATTCTAGATTTGGGGAAACCTTAAATGCTGAGCCCCAAGGCTTAGAGGACAGTTTGTCTTCTAGCCAATGTTGAACTAATAGGGTGTTTTCCTTAGCCACTAAGATAATCAGTGTTATTTTAAGGGAGAGAGTCTGGCATTGACCAGAGCAGAAACATCTGGATGCAGATACCTTGGAGTCATTACTGAAAAGCACACTGCTGTCCATTTGATTCTAACTCATAGCGGCCCTGTCGCACAAGTTAGAACTGCCCCTGTAAATTTCTGAGAATTTTAACTCTGTCTGGGAGTAGAAAGCCACCTCTTTCTCCCCTGGAATCAATAGTGCGAGGTAAGATGAAAGCAGGCAGTTCTCTGTCATACAGGGTAGCTGTGAGTGGGTTTTGTGATTTAGTTCTATGGTAGGCACGTAGCCTCTCATAAGAGTTCTTCTGGACACTGCATCTCTAAGAAATATGTTTTATAATCAAACTTGACCTATGGTTACCATGGGTGACGGAGGAAGAGTATTTGCTTAGGGAACATTGAGTTTATATTGAGGGTGGTGGAATCATTTGGAAAAGGATATACCTAATGGTTGTACCTAATGAAGAGTATAATCAATGGCATTGAGTTATACATGTAGAAGTTGGAGAATGTTTTGTATATTTTTGCCACAATTAAAAAAATAATTTCACGGGACAAAGGAGAAATATATCTTCTTGGGGCTACCCTTTTGCTTCCCTGGCTGGCCCCTTGTGCTCCTGGGACTGGCTGGTTAGTATCCCGGATGCCCCAGCATTGTTGTAGCTTACTCTTTGGAGGTATTTCCAGATCTCTAACTAGCTCATTGCCTTTGCCAACTATTGCCTGCCTTCTATTAGGAATATAGATTTCTTTTGGCAAGCATCTTTCTTTGCCCAGTACATAATTCTGTATTCTCATAACGGCAGTGAAGAACGTTTCAAGTTCTTGGTGTTATATGAGTGAGATTTAAACTTGTTAAAATTGAGGTAAATTCTGGATTTTATTTTGCATTTATTTCTGTTTACTTCGAAAGGTAGCATATATGATTGTGATAAACAACTTGGAAGGTAACCACTGGCTTCCCTATTGTCATGAAACAGGAGTCAGAAAAGCTTCCGTGGTCCAATACCAACCATTCTGCCTGCACCACTGCTTCTCTACTGTGTTCGATAATTTATTGCAGTGGCCACACAGAACTCACAGACAATACTCCCAAATTTATTTGGAGTTGGCATTGACTCAATGGCAATGAATTTTGAGTTGTGGATTAGAAAAGTTAATAGGTTAGAAAAGTTAGAAAAGTTAATAGGTTAGAAAAGTTAGAAAAGTTAATAGGTTACCGCAAGTCAGGATCAGCACACTGTAAAGATATAATCATTGGTCTCTTTAGCCAATAGCTGTCTCTCACTGGTATTCAACCTCATCCATGTAGCCTAGTCTCTCTCCAGTTCTTAGTCTCTCAAGCATGTGGTGCTTAGCCTTTGCCTCCACAACCTAGGAAGCCAATCCACCTTTCACTCTGTCTCACATTTCCATAGTTTTGAGTCAGGAGAAAAATACCCAAAAAACTCAACTACCATCAAGTCGATGCCATTTCACATTGACCCTATAACAGGATAGACCTGCCCCTGTGAGTTTCGGAGACTGTAACTTTTTTTTTTTATAACATTTTATTAGGGGCTCATACAACTGTTATCGCAATCCATACACACATCAATTGTGTAAAGCGTAACTTTTTATGGGAGTAGAAACTCCTGTTTTTCTCCCACAGAGTGGTTTGTAGTTTTGAACTGCTGGCCCTGCAGTTAGCAGCCTAATGCATAATCCACTAGACCAGCAAGGCTCTTTAGATAAGAAGGTGCTCCCTAGTCTTTGTGCTGCTCCCCTGTTTTTCAGTGCCACAATTTGTGATGCTTCTGCCATGTCAGACAGATCTCTTGAACGTGCTCTTCCAAGGTCCTTCAGGTGTCTCTCTTCTCCCACTGCTTCAAAGATGGCTCATCGTTGTAGCCAAGGGGGTGGTAATGAAAACTAACCAAGCGCCACTTAGTGTTACACACACCCGATTTGCACAGTCTTACCCAATTGTTTGGTTGAGTTACAGAGACTTAAGTAGAAGAGCCATAGGAAGAAATTTCATTCCACCCCAATGATTAGTAGAGGAATGGGCCTGGGAGCAGGAGTGGTGCATGTGCTTATACTTAAAATGGGGTGCATTTTTGAAGTTAGCCATTGCTTTTATTTTGCCTCTGGGAATTTTGGGATTGTCATGGGTAGTTATGTCTCTAAATGTAATTTTTTGTTTGTATGACATTACTGTCAATGCCCTTGACATAGGTCTTGATGTTTTTTTAGGTTTAGAGAAAAAAACCCAGGTTCTGCAGCCAGAGGAGAAAAAGACGGTGGCGTACCATGAAGCAGGGCATGCAGTTGCAGGCTGGTACCTGGAGCATGCAGACCCACTTTTGAAGGTAAAGCAATGTGTGTTAAGCCTAAGAAAGTCAACTGAGCATGCAAAAAATTACTCAGTTGCAGTTACTTGAGAAGAAAATGGCACATCACAAAGGATAAACATAAAAAGATGTTTAAATATAAAGAAATTTGGCAAGAACTTCTGGTGATGGCAGTAAAATGAAGGAGTCGTGCAGCCTCTCCCGCAGTTAAGTTATGGAATTTACAAGGAAAACTACTTTATTAAGGGGCCATAAAACATTCAAAAGTAGACCAAAGTTCAAAGATCATTGGCTCAAAGAAGCAGAAAGTGACTATTATGGCTTTCTTGCATGAAGGTTTTACTTGACCTCCTCAGCTACAGTGGTGGAAAATATTGACTTTATTTTCTTGTGATGGCAAAGGATTTGAGGAATACTGGCGGTTTATCAGGTAAATCCTGGAAGCAGTAAAACTACAGGAGAGACTCAAATTTGAGTAAAACATCCCCAATCCCTGGGTGACTAGTAAATTACACATGCGTAGGAGAGACCAAAGAACAATCTACTTTTAGAAGGCAGATATACCAATGAGACTGAGTGTATTCCTCAAACTGGTACAGTGTGGGCAGCAGAAAGCATAAGGTGGTGATGCTATGAGATGCCAGAAGAGCACTGAAAATTGAGGTGGGGAGTTCCCCTGAAGCAAGGGAACCATAGAGAAGACAATATTAGAGTGCTCACTAAACATCCTAAGGAACTTACAAAAAGCCACAAAAACTAGTCAGTGAATGTAGCAAGGTTGCTAGATTTAAGGTCCATAAAGATTGGTAGTATTTTTATATGTGAACAATGAATAATTAGTGGAATTTAAGAATCCCACTTCATTTATAGTAGCGCCCCAAATTAACAATGCTAGGAAAAGTTTTAACATAATATTTGTAGGACTTGTGCACTGAATAGAAGACCTAAATAACAATAGTGATATTCCATGTCCCTGGAATGTGTCAGTCTTTCCAACTTGATTTTTGTTTTAGCATAATTTCTATCCTAATTACAAGACTTTTTTATTTTGTAGAAATTGACTCACTATAAGTTTATATGAAAAACAGAATCTTAAACTAAAAGATTTAAGTTGAAGCTCTTAAAGTGTTTATAAGTAAACATACATAGATCATTGGATTAAAATAAAGTCCAGAAATAGGCCTATGTGTGTATTTAACAGATTTTCAACAGAGATTCCATGGTAATTCAAAACAAAGGATAGTCATAGAACAAATAGTTCTGGAACAGCTGAATATTCATATAATTTTAAAGTGAATGGAGGGAGTATATGAGAATTCTATATTTTCTGTACAATTTTTCTGTAAGCCTAGAACTGCTATAAAAAAATAATGTGTGGACCTAGGTGCAAATAATTATAGGTTTGGTAGTAGGGTGGCAGGTGGACATTGGGCCTCCTCATGCGCACTCCCCTAATACAAGAGCGCCTTGCTCAGCTAAACGGTCATTTCATGATATCTACCTTCACGACATGATCGCTGAAGACATACACAGTGCATAAGAAAATGTGGTGAAGAAAGCCGATGGTGCCCGGCTATCAAAAGATATAGTGTCTGGGGTCTTAAAGGCTTGTAGGCAAACAAGC